CTTATTATAGAGGGAAGTATGGCAAACTTAAAGTAGAGAACCTTAGAATTTACTAACCCCTGAGGTCAAGGTTAGTGGAGAAAAGATTGCACAGTGGTCCCACTAGTATTGGATCCCTGAGAAAAATAAGGCTTCATTTCTGCGGTGTTCCTGCCGTGAATGCCTGACTTCAGTCTGGATTTGATAAAATAGTTTATGAAACAGGGTAGAGCTGGTCATCTGACAGAATGGGAAGCCTGGACTTTTAAAGTGACAAGGACATAAAAGACAGGGCAAGGCTGAGGAACTCTTCCAGACTGAATGTGTCATATGGTCACAAGGGAAATTATGATCACTTGGCTGAGGGAGAAAAAACTCAAGCCTGAGTAGTAGATGAATCTGTTGTCAGACAGTAGATGTTAACCACCTGGGTCTTACTGCCCCATTCAGAGACAATCCTGAAGGACATAACTTCCACTGAACAGAATTTGAAGAACATCATTTGCCTGTCTACTTCTTAGTTGAGAAAGGACCAGAAGAGTACCTCCATATTAATTTTGGACAAGTGCAAAAGGGTCAACTGGATGGTCAAGAATCTGGAAGGAACAAGATGGAGAGGTTGGTGACAAGAACATCTGGGGAAGATTTATGTGGCTGAAACTTTAAGATTGCACTCAGACATTTCTAAATGATTCCGTATCCAAGTAGACACAATGACACACTCTAGCAATCAGTCTTCTTTTTTTTTATTAGCTATCCCAGTGTCTTCCCAATGACTCTTGAATTAGCACTTATTTCAGAGTAAAAAGAAGTACATTAATGATCTCATGCCCTGGGAATTACCCGGTCTTATCATATAACTCTTGGCCCACAGTGGGTGACCTAAGAGAAAAATGGGATAGCTTTACTGAAGATTCAGTTGTGAGAAATGAAGAGACATCTCCATGAATGAGTCTAGTTCTGTCTTCAGGATGCAGGATCTTCTTTGAATGAGTATATGGTACTACCTCCCCTACAGTCTTAGATCCAGGACTTACAACTAATAACATAATACATGCTTCAAATTACTGCTTCCTCATTATCAACTTAGTGAGTTTCTGGTTTGGAGTTTTTGGTTTTAAGTGGACAATGCTTTCACAGAACACACAACAATGACTCCATTGAAATAGAAAAGACTGATAGTTACTTTATGATCCTTGGCCCTCTGAACCACAGGCAGAAAAAGGATCGCGCTGATGGTGAGTGTGATTGATTCTAATTGTCACAGGATGATTGAGTTTTTGGTACACAGTGGAACTAAGGAAGAGTATTTCTGGAACCCAGATGCTATGTCCCATAGCAAGGATCAGTGGGAAAACACAGCCACAAATAGTATCTCCTAGCTGAGTGAAGAACTTGGACCTGTCTATGCCTCCTAACAAGTTTCTTAGCCACTAAGCTCACGATCCCAGAAGATCAGGATGGATCACCCTCCTCAAGTTTCTTTTCCTCTAGCAGGCTTTAAGATCCAGTGGCAGCATGTCCTTGATAAGGAGATTTGTATCTCAGTCTTTGGGGATGGGAGCCTCTTCTGTTCTTGCTTACTTCCTCTTTACTCTCCCTCAGATCTGAAGAACTACATTTGCTGTCACTCTACTGCTTAGTCTACTTTTACCACGGAGCCCCTTTTTCACTAACTAGCTTAAAATGGTTCTTAGAATGTACCAAAGAGGAGCCAGGCACTGGTGGTTGATGCCTAGCTACTCAAGAGGTTGAGATCTGTGGATCAAGATTTGAAGCCAGCTCAGGCAGGAAAGCCTATGAAACTCCAATTAACCAGCCAAAAGCCAAAAGTAGAGTTGTGGCTCAAGTGGTAGAGCACCAGCCCTGAGCAAAAAAAATCTTAGGAATAGCTCAGACTCTCAGTTCAAGCCCCAGTACTAGCACAGACACAAAAACTTTGACAAGGAGAAGAAAAGACTATTCAAATTACCCTAAGATGAATTGCATTTCAGCTGAACTCAGATTACTCAAACTGCCATTTGAACTTCCTGTTCTTTATATTTTACATGGATACATGTATAACAGACTTATGATTCATCTTTTCAGTCTAGAAATGCTAAGTGGTTCCTTTTTACTATCCAACTTCATTTTCATTCAGCCTGAACATGTATGCTCTTTCATTTCTTCCATTTTAAGCAAAACAAAACACAACCCTATTATAGGTAGTAGGTTTATGGAATATGGATAGTTTTTTTAAAAATCAATTTACATTTTTAGGATGTGATTTAGAATAATATTTAGAACCAAATCCAATGATTTTATAAGTACCTCCTCTGGGATGTCTACAAATAGTATTAGTACCTATTTTCCGAGTGGTTAGTTTTTGTCATGTTCTGGCCAGGCTATGCAGAATTCACACACACACATACACACACACACACACACACATACACACACACACACACACATACACACACACACACTTTCTCTTCTAGTAATCCTTGCAATAATCTATTGTGAGAGGTATCTGTTCATTTCAAAGATATGAAAACTGACATTCAAAGAGAGTAAATAACTCACCTAAAATCAGAAAGCCTGAAGGAACAGATTTCTCTCTCTGAATTTGGTACTGACAGAGGAGGCTTTGGCCTCCTCTCCCTCTCCCCCAGCCCTAATTTTTTTGTGTAACTGATTCAGAAGGATCTGGCTCATTCACAATCTAAGAGAATCTGAAGGTTCATTCTTCAACTTCAAGTTCCATGTGTCTCTAATTTTAGAAGCTAACCCTGCTGCCTAGAATGGAAACCCACACCACAAGAGATTAGCTAAGTGTTTCCTTCACGGTCCTTATTTATAGTCTCTGCACTTGTATTCCTGAATAATGAGCTGGTTGGTATGCATAAAATAGAGCCTTGGGAAGATAACAATTATGATTTTTAGTAAATTAGATGCCCAAGTTAATGTGTTATTATAGGAAATGGACTCATGAACATTTATTAATAGAATGCAATGACACTTCCCACTGAATCCTAGAATAGTCTATCCTCACAAATGTTCATTAGTGAGTTAGTCAATGGAGATGGCATTTGATGTGCTAAGTTTCCACTGTGGTGTATCACTGGTGTAATATAACAGACATATTGTTGTCATTTTTTCCCTCTTCAAAGAACACCAGACTGAAGTGCCCCATGGCTTATAGACATCTCCATTTTTCTGGCTCCTACCAAATCTCACAATTTGACACACCATCTTTATACCAATTTTTCCTACATTGATGAATCAAGTGGGTCCTTTTAGTAGAACTTCAAGCTCATAATCAACTACATATTTATCAGCTTAAATGCGTGTCAAGAAGTCCCACTGATATGCCATGTCTCTAGCTTTATCTTATTGTCCCCAAATCTGTTCGCCTCCTCATTTTTTTTCAGCAGAGTTAATGGTGACTCTGTTCTTTCAGTTAACAAGGTAGGTCCAAAACCCTAGAGCTTTTCTGATGCCATCAGCCCATCAGTTTGTCCCAGCAGTCTTGCTTTCAACACATATTTATACACTAACCATGTACCTCAGCACCTCCAACTGCTGCTTTCCCATACATTTTCTGCAAGTATTCTGTAATAATTTTCTACTGAATTTTCTGTTTCTGCTCTTGTCCTTATAATATTCTAATACCAGTCCACTAAATCTCACTGACAGCTAAGTTAGACAATATGAGTTCTCAGTTCTTATGTCCTCCTGAGGCCCCATCTTATTCTAAGTAAAAGCTGAACTCTACCAGGTGCTAGTGGCTCACACCTGTAATCTTAGCTACTCAGGAGGCTGAGATATGAGAATTGCAGGCAGGAAAGTTCCTGAGACTCTCATCTCCAACTAACCATCAAAAAGCCAGAAATGGAGTTGTGCTCAAGCAGTAGAACGCTAGAATTGAAGGGGAAAAAAAAATAAGGGACAGCATCCAAGACCTGAGTTCAAGCCCTAGTACTGGCCTGGGAGGGGAAAGAAAGGGGAAGAGAGAATGGGGGTAATAGAAGAGTGAATACAATCCAAGTATATTATACACATGCATAAAAATATCACAATGAAATCCTCACATTATACAATCAATATATGGTAAGTAAAAATATGGGAACAAAAACTAAGGCAAAAGGGATAAAGATGAAGTATAAGTAAGAAGAAGAATAAACAATGATGAGAAACTAAGACCTTATGATGTTGGCACACACACAGGGTGTTGCTATGACCTGAGTGCTTTACTAGAAACCTCAAGTTAAAATGCTAATTTCCAAGGTGAAGGACCTGGCCAGGTGGTGGGTCAGGAGACAGGAATCTTCATGAATGGAATGGGACCCTTATGAAAGCCAGGTAGGGGTTTGGGGCTAGAGGGAGTGGGGGTGAAGGCCTCCCTCCCAGCAAGGAGGTGCTGGCTAAGAGGAAGATCCATCACCACACAACAGCCCTCATCTGCTGGAAACTTGAACTTTCCAGCCTGCAAAGCTAGTTATAAGTTAACGGGTGTTTTAACTTCCTGAAAGAAGGGAGACAGGGCCTATGGCTCATGCCTGTAATCCTAACTACTCAGGAGGCTGAAATATAAGAATCACAGTTTGAATCCAGGAAAGTCCATGCAATTCTTATGTCCAATCAACCACCAAAAAGCTAGAAGGAAGGCTGTGACTTAAGTGGTAGGCCATTAGCCTTGAGTGGGAAAAGCTCAGGAATAGTGCTCAGGGCTTGAGTTCAAGCCCCAGGACCAACAACAACAACAACAATAATAAAACAGGGGCAGCAGGACTTTCTTCTGAAGTTCAAGATCAACTCTTACGACATCTATGATTTATGGAGAGAATACTTGGTGCCTTCACTGTAGCTGCCTTCAATTGAAGCAACCGAGGGACAGAGATGTAACTTGCTCAATTCAGGGGGCCCTGAGAGCGGGAGGAGGAATTAGAACCCAGGCCCGAGGTCGTGCCTTTAGCCAGGGGGCTAAATCGTCAAAGCCAGGTGGTGAAGGGTCACAGGACAAGGCGGCTCCCGCGGGTCACCTGGGGTTGAACTGGAATTGTTCAATCGCGGCCTCTAGGACCTCAAGGATCTTGTAGCACCCCCTTGTTTCGGGCCGGTCCTCCAGGGTCTGGCTCGCACCCTCAGCCATGCCTGCCGCCCGCTGGGCTCCGCTACCAGAGCTGCTGCGGGCTCAGTGACTTCAAATCCTGAACTTGGCGTCCGTTGCCATGGCAACGCCCAGTGGGAAACCAGTGCTGCTGCCGGGGAATCCGGAGGCAGGGATGGGGGTGGGAGGAGGGCTGAGCTAGAGGGAACTCAGGACTGGAACCCCCCCCCCCCCTCCCCGTGACTCCCACGAACTGGCCTGACTCAGGGCTTCGGGACAAAGCCTGTTCTCCTCTGGCCGCCCACAGGCCGGGCTGCTGTGAGAATGTCTCCAAGCAAAGCGACACTCTGGTGACTAACCCTGCTAAGCCCCACCACGCCTCCTTGCAAGGCTGCACACTTCCGGGAGGTTAACATTGTCGACTGCTTCCTTTCTGCACCAACACCCCCCCCTTCTCCCTGGCATGTAAGACGCCTCCACCTCTATCCCCCAAGCGTGGTGACTTTGCTTTTCAAAGCATTTCAGAAGGACTAGAAGTAGTGAAAAATAGGGAGACTCAGAACATAAGGCTCTTGGCCTGGTAAATGGCTACACCTGTCTCTTGACCTTACATGGCAGCACCTAGCTAATAAAATGTCTCTGTAGACTAAACAAGCTTGCATTCTTATTCAATATGACAATCAAGACATCAGGAGTTAAGTTTTACACTATACCATCTAGTGTGGAATTCCAAGTCATCTTTAAAGGTGAAAGGGTTGTTTGAAACTGACAACTGATAGGTGACACTCAATTCTGATATCAATAGGTCATTGTCAGGATTTAACACTTAAGAATTCTCCCTCTCACTATTGTGTTCAGGAAAACTTTTTCTTTCTTCTCTCCCTTATAACTACACAAAAGCAAGCACCAGTGGCTCACATCTGTAATCCTAGCTACTCAGAAGGCTGAGACCTGAGGATCAAGGTTCAAAAACAGACTGGGTAGGAAAGTTTATGAGACTCTTAATTCAATTTAACCACCAAAAAGCTGGAAGTAAAACTGTGCCTCAAGTGGTAGAGTGCCAACCTCGAGCAAAAAAAGCAAGAGACAATGGCTAAGACTTGAGTTCAAGCCTCAGTACCAGAAATAAATAAATAAGAAGTTAGTTTGACATTAGGATTTAAAAATGAAAAGGGAATTCACTAATATTATCACTAATCTCAGATTTAAAGATAAAGACAGAAAAACCCTAAATGCCAAACAAACATCATTATCAAATACCTAAATAATCTTCCATTAAGAAAAAGAATTATTTTCAAAATCAAACTTCAAATTTTATTTAGAAGGGTTTTAATTGCTTAAAGTAAAAAGTGTTTTAAAGAAATGTGTATACCTATAAGAAGTTGTGGTATGTGTGTGTGTGTGTGTGTGTGTGTGTGTGTGTTGGTCCTTGTAAAGCTTGGAGAAAGGAGACTCTACATGGTTGTTCAAGCAGAGGAGAGTTTACTATAAGAACCAAACCTGCTGGCCTGCATGGGATGGATGTTTGTAGAGGACTGGAAGTGTGCAGAGGGGAAGGTAGAAGGAAGGAGAGACAGAGAGACAGACTAAACTGTGCTGTGCAGAGAGAAGGGAAGGGGGAGAAAAGGGGGGAACTAATCAGATTGATTATATAGGGAGGAGGTGTGGTCACATCAGATTTAGAACTGATCTCAAAGTCTGGGAACCTCTCACTATCCCCAAATGTGCCAGTTACCTGGGCTATAGGTGCTAGGCAGGGACCTGTCGGGAAGACCACACATGCATGGAAGAGAAACAAAGGGAAGGGGCCATTTTTCACGGGTGGACCTAACATTCCAGCCTTCTGATAGGTATAAAGGGGCTCTGATTCTCTCTGGTTACTTTCTGCTGGCAAGTGTATCAACATTAAGGGTAGATGGTGGAGGTGTCATCTGGTCTGAGAGAAGGTAACAGTAAGAGCTCCTTGGTGGTGAATGCGTGAATGGGTCTTTGGATGAAATCTGAAAGAAGTCTTACAAGTCAGAGACTGCACAATAAGCAAAGGAAAACATTAGAGGGCCTACAAATGGCAGAAGGAAGGGCAAGATATCATTCAGGGCCAAAAAGAAAAATTGGATGACTTGGCTAATTCCTGTCTCCTGCATTCTAGGTAGTCCTGGAGTTGGTAGATTATGTCCTTGATTACTTCTGACTGATTAACATCTGGTGACTGGGTAGGGGAAAACTTCATGGACTGGTTAAGAATAAGCAGTCAGAAGCTAAGGCTGGATTTGGAGTAGTTAAGGGATTGGTAGGAGGCCTTAATCATATCTTGAACTATACAAGTCTGGATTATAGAGTATAGGAGAACCAGGAAAGTGCCAAGGCAAACTGTCCTGTGTCTAAGACTCACTATAAGTTTCTGTTCATTTAGAAGAAAGACAGGTATGAACATTGGATAGGCATGCTTATTGTTTTCTTTTGATCTCCCACCTCTGATTAGTTTTGAAAGGGCAAGCACAAAATGGTTCTATTTAGGATTCTGTCACTATTTTCTCTTATTCCTCTCCATAATCCCTTATTGCCAGGACTAGCTTTGTCCCTGGAGTCTAGGTGCTCATTGCTGAAATGGCTTGTCCCATTTAGCATTTTTACTCATTGCTTGGATAGCATGTCCCAGTTGGCATTTTTGCTAGTTTGGCATTTTTGCCCCACATTGGCTAATTCCTGTCCCCTGCATTCCAGGTGGTCCTGGAGTTGGTAGATCGTGTCCTTGGTTACTTCTGACTGATTAACATCAGGTGGCTGGGTAGGAAAGAGCATCATAGACTGGCTAAGGATAAGCAGGAAGAAGCTGAGGCTGGATTGGAGTGGCTAAGTCACTTACCAGACATAGACGAGAGACAAGAGACAGTGTAGTGCATATGTGATCAGCAATAGTAAAGGTGAGAAATCCACTGTGGGACTCCTTCAGCAGTTTGGGTCCATAGAGCGGGGTCAGGAGGTGGACTGAGAAAGGAGGGGGGTCCAGTGACTCCTGACAGTATCTCTTCCTATGTAAGGTTTGGATAAAGGAGACCTCCATGTGGTTGTTGAGGCAGCGGAGAGTTTATCGGGAGACCCTGAACCTACCCAGCCCACACAAAATGGAGACATGCAGAAGGAGGGGAGGGAAGGGAAAGAGTGAAGGAAGAGTGAAGAGAAAAGGAGAAAGGGAGAGTAGAAAGAGAGGGTTTGAACTATTCAGAGAGACAGGAAGAGAGGGAAGGGGAAACTAATCGAGATTGATTGTATAGGGAGAGGATGGGGAGGAGGTGTGGTTACAGCGAGTGTGCAGTGAGGTCTCACTGTCCCCAGGTGAGTCAGTTGCCTGGGCTACAGATGCTGGGCAGGGATTTCTAGGGAGGGCTATGTGTGCATGGAGGGAATATCAAGGGAAGGAGCCATTTTTCCCAGGCAGACCTAACAATCCTGGAGTTTGAACTCAGGTCCTGGAAACTGTCCCTGGGCTTTTTCACTCAAGGCTAGTGCTCTAGCCACAGCTCCACTTCCAGCATTTTGCTGGCTAATGGTAATAAGAGCTCATGGATTTTTTGCCCAGGCTGGCTTCAAACCATGATCTTCAGATGTCAGCCTCCTGAGTAGCTAGAATTACAGGCATAAACCATTGGTGCCTGGCTATCATTTTCTTTTTTTCTTTTGGCAGTTGTAGGGTTTGTATTCAAGGTCTAAGGCTAGTGTTCTACTACTTTGAGCTATAGCCACATCCAGTTTTCAGATGGTTAATTGGAGATAAGAGTCTCACAGACTTCTCTGCCTGACCTGCTTTTGAAGCATGATCATCAGATCTCATCCTCCTATGTAGCTAGGATTATAGGCATGAGCCATCAGTGCCTGGCCCTGGCTGTCATTTTCTTCTGTATTCTTTTTATCTGACTGAATGCAAGTTTTCAAAAAGAAAGATTAAGCCAGGCTGGATAGCTCATACCTGTAATCTAGGTATTCAAAAGGCAAACATCTAGAAGATTTAGTTTAAAGCCAGCCCTGGCTAAAAGAAAAAAAAAGTCTGTGGGACTCCATCTCCAATTAACCAACAAAGTTCCAGACTGGAAGATTGCTCAAATAGTATAGAATGCCAGATGTGAGCAAGAAAGCCAAGCAAGAGTGCAAGGCCCTGATTTCAAGCCCCAATACTAACAAAATTACATTAAATTAAATTAAAGATGGAAATTCAAAGTTGAAATGAAAAACCTGAACATTTAAAAATAGGAACAAAAGTGTAAAGAATGTGATATAGGGGCTGGGGGTTTAGCCCAGCAGAAGGGCACCCGCCCGGTGCGCGCAAGGTCCTGGGTTCAGTCCTCATCCCTGGAGAAAAAAGAAAAAGAATGTGATATATCTTTGGCTATTTTGCTTATTTGATCATAAATGAATATTTTAAATCTGTGGAAAGAGGTATTACAGTAGAGTTTTTCAGTCACTGGTCAACACTGTTGCCTGTAAGGTACTGCATAGTTATGCTACCCCACAAAAACACACACTGAACAAAACAGCTTTGTTTGAAAGCTTGTTATGGTGTATCAAAAAGTTTCAGATTTCAGACTGTGTTATGATGACTGTGTTTGAAACTATGAACTACATAACACTTCCGTTCTTGTCATTTACCTATATTGTATCTCACAGGTGTTCTGACTTACACAATTATTTACCTCAAATCATATTTGCAGTATAATAACTAGGACTGTCACTATGGAAACATTTGCCAAGTAGAAACCAGGTGTGTGTGTGTGTGTGTGTGTGTGTGTGTGTGTGTGTCCTGGGGATTGAACTCAGGGCCTGGGCACTCTCCCTGAGCTTTTGTGCTCAAGGCTCTGTCGACTGAGTCACTTTTGACTTTTTGGTGGTTAATTGGAGATAAGAGTCTCACAGACATTTTTCCCAGAATGACTTTGAACCTCAATCCTCATTATCTCAGGTTCCAGAGTAGCTTAGATTACAGAAATAAGCCACAGGTGCCAGGAAAATCCAGTTTTTAAATCATATATTCAATTCATTGCTGGCTT